TCTCTCTCTCTCTGTCTCTCTGTTTAGAGTTTAGGGTTTCGGGGGGAGTTCCTTTAAGGGATTTCTTTGAGGGCTCCTGGAAGGGTCCTGCTACGGGCTTCTGTCAGGGCTCTGTTTAGAAATCTTCTCATGCGTGGTATTGGCTTCTCTTGCTTTTTGGAGTGTATGAAGCGTGACAGCTCCCCACTATATGGGCAGCTCTCCAAATTAGGGTCCCTTTAATAGGATCCTTTCTATGAGGGTGCCGTGCCATTTGACCCGAGCCTGAGGCCAGGTTCTGCTGGAGCCGCATGCGATCGAGCGGCTTGCTGAGAAATATTAGGGGCCTCAAAATGAGGACGCCTAGGAAATACTATGAGTTACTGGGGCTTCCACGTGCAGAATGTCTCTCCGGTATTGTTTTTTGATTTTGGGAGTGGCTCATGAAGGAGCTGCAGGACTTTAGGGTGTTTCGGGCTGTTTGGTGTTTTCGGTTTCGGCTTTTTTCGGGCTTCATTGGGAAAACACTCTGCAGCAACAATTACAATTATACTGTGCCTAGCCAGAGAAAGCGATGTTCAGACAAGGACCAAGCAGAACGCCGTGATGAGTACTGTCATCAGCACCACTACCGTCTTGGCCATCGTCATGAGAGCCAAAGGTAGTATTTTCATGTTTTGCTGTCACGACCTATGCTTTGAAACACCAGTGTCGCGACTTTGTGCATACACACACACAGACACNNTCTCTCTCTCTGTCTCTCTCTCTTTGGTAAGGGGCTTGGCTGGCTAGCTCTGGGGCAGTGACAGAAGGCGCACAATGCTTATTTCGGAGAGTTTTGACAGCGATTGGGCATAGTGTTCAGCATTCCTCCGCTTGTGAAATAGCTTTTATGCAGGATGCTTCATGTTTCAATACCGCCTTGGGCAATTAAGCCATCTTGCAAAACAAATCCGAGTGGTATTCACACAAAAAGAACATCAATATATGTAATTTTGGCCTTATACCACAATGAAAAACATGAGTTCGTGCGTTTCAGGGTACAGGGCCAGACTATAGCATACCAAAGAAAGCACCACAAAGAGCCACACCAAGAGGTCTCAAAGGGCTGCTCCCCTCATTCACGGTGGGTCCGAGGCTGTGCGTGTGGGAGAACCGCCAGGTATCCGACTGGGTTGTGGTGGTGCACAACATGGCAGCTTGCTTGGGTTCAGGGTTCGGGAGGATTGAAGCAGTTTTGTAAGCCTGGGCTTTCGTGAACACTTGGGTTTGGAGCTTTGAGTCACTGCCTCGCCAGAAACTTCGCTCTTTCATCGCTACCTAGCTTGAAGTCTTTGGAGACCCAGAAAGCCTTCAACTCTCACCAAAATTAAAAGCACCTCACTCCTCACGAAATTGCGCCGGCAGCCGCAGCCTTCTTCGTTGGGGCGAAGCGCTCTCTTCTGGAGCCAAGGAAGAATACTTGCATTCGCCGTTCTTGGGAAAGGGGCTTCCCGTGTCTTGGCATTGGTTGGGTTGTACTACACCCAGCTTTTCATAAGGGTAAGTACGGTATCAACACAGGCTGTCCTGTATACCATTGCGACAAACAGCACAGCTATCTCCCGAAAACCAAAGACTCTCATAGCCTTAGTAGTAGAGTAGGGTACCTTTAACTTTTCTGGGGTACTATAACCCCGATATAACCCAAGGATGAACCTTTCAAACTAAGCGGTAGAGCACGCAGGAGCCAGCAGGTCAGAAGTAATGAGCCTCATCTGCAGTAGCCCCAAGGATTACAATATGACGTAATATGATCCAAGGGCATAGTGAAAGTGTCTAACCCGCAAAACTGCAGGAAAGCCCTGCAAACCGAACTATCCGCGGTCCTCGGAAACTACCCCGGGCCAAGGCCCTCATCAATCTTGATTCTCATGCCCAGGATCGAAACCCACATGAACCTATACCCTCAAGCCGGGCACTATAACCCTAAACCCTAAACCCCTAAAGCCTAACCCTAACCATGAAGCCCGAAGCCCCTTCTAACCAAGCTTTCGGGTGAGGATTTATAGGGTTTAGGGTTTACAGCTTATGGGGTTTAAGGTTTAGGACCCTAGCCCCAAATCTTCAGGATGATAGACAGGCCACGCTTGAAGTCAGTGCTGTTATCGCTTCACTCCTTGTGTTTCACGACAGCACAGCATGCTTTGGTTTTGTGCTCGTTCAAGCTCTTCGCGCAAAAAGCTTTTTGACTCTATTCTGGACCCTGGGAAGTAAAAGTGAAGATTCTCATCTGACCCCTGAGCCCAAGAGTTCTGATCTCTCCGGACAGTCAGAACGACTTCAGGTAGTGAAACTACCGGAGATGATCAAGACCTGGGCTGGCGAGGTGTATCTTGGGGTCCTTACTTAAAAGGATCAGGAAAACTCAAGCAGGTGGAGTTTCCCCAGGTTCTTATACGATGTCAAAGAGGGCCTTTGAAGGGTGGGTACCTTCAGGATAGGGGATTCAGTAGTCAGGTTAGCTGTAATGTAGGATAATCCCAACTAGGGCTTTTCTAAGTCCTCCTAGTCTCACTAAGTCCAGCGAGCCTCTAAGAATAGTATGAGTCCGACTTCTGAAGCCCCTACATATCTTCTGAAACTCCCGCGACGTCTGAATGATCTTGTTCTTTCAGTGCTTGGCTTGCCTCCTGACTTTTCAGCCTGGATGCCGCGGTCATAGACTAACACAGGGGCGCCAACAGACTTCCCCAACCCCTAAACCACGTGAGCCGCCTTAATCCTGGGATCTAACATATATGACCGTGAGAAAACTTGGCAAGACTGTTTTTGTCAGTTTTCCGTATGTCGAAAATAGTACAATATATCCTAGAACCTTTTCAAACTGGAAATCCTGACTACAGCCGCGCAGGTGCCCAGTGTAGCTGTCTTCGAGATCTTCCAGGCACAGCTTGTGATGGTTCCAGTCGGTTTTAGGCCTCGGGTTCTTAATTCAGGTTCAGGTTTTGATTCTGTGGCCACTGCACCCCACCAGCGCGATGCTGTGAAGGTAGGCAGGTGCACCCAGAGAGGCCAATACGGTTCAAGGAATCTTGATGGTTCACGGTACTTTCGTCATTTCGGACATTTTTGCCCCCAAAGCTCTACATCAAGAGCTTCGGTGCAGGAGCCCATGGGCGGTGCCGGCATGGATGGAGGCGGTCGAGAGTCCAGGGTACAGGTTTCCGGGTAGGTTTGCCTTAAAGTTAAAGGTCTAAAGGTAAGCCGAAGTCAAGGCTCTACTGGGTTTTTCTTGGGGACTTGAACTCAAGTCCCCATCTTGGGATCGGCAGTTTACGGGTTCATGGTTTAAGGCTTCTGGCTCAAAGGAAGGTCCCAGACGGGAAGGAACAGCAAAGCCAGCATCGCCGACATGATAGCGCTTGGTTTGAAAGTAGGTGGAGTCAGACAGCGGGAGCTTGCACCTCACTTGCAACATGTCATGTGGGCTGGCATTTTCCGAGCCCGTTTTATTAGTGAGACTATTCCCTTGTAGTAACTTATGCCCGAATCCTATTCTATTTGCTAAGGCTAAGGCCTCTATAGTAATTCAGACCGCCTCAAGCCGCATGACATCATGAGGGTAACGGGAATATGATCTAAGAATAAAGAGGACTGAGTGATTACAAGATGGTCTAAGTGCATCTTTTCGGTATGTTTTGAAAACGAGCGACGATATGGGTACAGTAGTACTAGTCATTCCGGCCGCTATGTCAGCTAGTTTGCGGTTATAGGTCTTGTGATCCAGCCAAATGTGTGCCTCTATGATGGGTCCCTTATATCGAATTAAAATTCCATCGACAGTGCGGAGGCTTACACTTTTGGTGAGCCGCTTCACGGTTCTCATACTTCTGCTGGAAATTCTTGCACTTTAACAAAGGAATCTCGCGTTGCATATATGTGGACCCAAACCCTGACCCTTCTATAACCGGGATACATACATAGATCATAGGGGACACTGTTAGCATGTTGTGAGGTAGTCCCCTCAATTTGAAACCGGGGTCTCTGGTGCCTTTTCCTCGGTGAGGCTCCACGATCTTCAGCCGCTGGACACACAAGCGTGGACTGGAATTCAGCGAGGCCCGTCTTGGGCCTAAGTTAAGTCGGGGTTTCTGCGACCAGTTTGGGGGTTCCTTCGGGCATTTGTCTATGTGTTCAGTTTGTTTAGGGCGTACTTAGGCTCCTTCAGGGAAGGTTCCGTCGTCGTGTAGAGTGTCTGCCAGTGCTAACTTCAGCATCAGCGGCGCTATGTTGTCAATGATTCGCACGGCCAGCCTCGTTGTCCGCAAGCTCTCTGATCTAGAACTTCAGAAACTGGGCTCACTGGTGACATGGGTGCGGAGGCACCATTGGTGCGAGGCCCACGAACAAGCAGACTACAATCACCCATTGTGCAGGTACTGTATCTCGGTCTCTTCCTAGACCCTCCATGTACCTTCTATTCGACCCTAACTACCCATAATTTGGGGCCACATTAACCCCTATTTGAGCATCCGAGGAGGGCCCCGGGGTATATAGGGTGCTTCAAGCGTAGATGCTGCCACCAGTGCTTCCTCCAACAAGAATTTGGTTTTGCCGGGCCCAGGCTGGCCACCTAAAACAGCTTGATTCCAAATCCCAAAACTCCCTATGAAAACGGCACACAGAATTGCAAAAGGCTTGGTTCCCTGTGGAGTTAAGGGTTTGGGGTTTGGGGGATACCTTAAGAATATCTCCAAAACTTTTTCTGCTTCACGGAAACGAGACTTAACCCTAAACCCTCAACGCCCATAACATACCCTTTACAGAGCACTAAGTGAAACCCTATACGACCCTTGTTATAC